AGAAACATTGATGTAAGAGAGACACATCGATTGGTTGCCTCCTGCGTGTGCCCTGATCCAGGGCTGGGGAACGAACCTGAAACCCAGGTACATGCCCTGACTGGGAATTGAACCTGAGACCCTTCAGTGCGGAGATGCTCTAGCCACTTAGCCACACCGGCCAGGGCTATTTAAGTTTTTATGAAGAAATGATGATCCTTCAAAATTACACATACACACACACAGAAATTACCAATTCTCATAGTAATGAAATTCTCCACCCAAAGGCATCTCCGAGTCTGATGTAAGACATAAGAGCCAGCTATGTGTCATGTCAGCATTGTCACTCAACCCACTACTATATTTCAAAGACCAAAAATTACATCTTTTTAAAAAAAAAAAAAAAAAAGAAATAATAATGGCAATAGAGCAAAGATAGTCTCTCAACAAATGGTGCTGAATAACAGGACATCCAAATAAAAAAAAAAAAAATGAATCTACACACAAACCTTACACCCTTCACAAAAACTGACTCAAGAGAGATCATAGACCTAAACATAAAATGCAATACTATAAAATTTCTAGACGATATACTCTAGATGACCCTGGGTATGGGAATGACTTTTTAGATACAACACCAAAGGCACAATCCATGCAGGAAATACTAATAATCTAGATTACATTAAAATTAAAAACTTCTGCTCTGTAAAAGACAGTGTCAAGTGAATTAGAAGATAAGCCACAGTCTGGGAGAAAGTACTTCCAAAAGATACACCTGATAAAGGACTGTCATCTAAAACATATTAAGAACTTTTAAAACTCAATAATAAGAAAACAAGCTTAAAAAAAGAGAGAGAAAATAACTCGATTAAAAAATGGACCAAAGACCTTAACAGAGGCCTCACCAAAGAAAATAAACAGCAAATAAGCACATGAAAAGATGCTGCACCTCACAGTCATCAGGGAAAGTCAAATTAAAACAACGAGATAGCACTACACATCTATTAGAACGGCCAAAATCTGAAATGCTGACAACACCAAATGCTGCCAAGGATGTGGAACAACGGGAGCTCTCAGCTATTGCTAATACGAATACAAAATGGTAGTCACTTTAGAGGGCAGTCTGGTGGTTTCTTACCAAGCTAAACATACTTTTACCATACAATCCAACAGTTGCATTCCTTGGGATTTACCCAAAGGAGTTGAAAACTTATATCTACAGAAAAACCTGCATGCAGATGTTTATAGCAGCTTTCTTTATGACTGCCAAGACTTGGAAGCAACCAAGCTGCCCTCCAGTAGGTCCAGACAATGGAATATTATTCAGCGCTGAAAAGATTTAAGCTATCAAGCCATGAAAAGACATGGAGGGGCCTAGCCAGTGCGTCTAGGTAGTTGAGCATCAACCCATGAACCAGAAGGACATGGTTTGATTCCCAGTCAGAGCACATGCCTGAGTTTCTGGCTCGATCCCCAGTAGGGGGCGTGCAGGAGGCAGCCGATCAATGATGTTTCTCTCTCTCCCTCTCCCTTCCTCTCTCTGAAATCAATAAAAACATATTTTTTTTAAAAACTAAGTAGCCCGGCCGGGTGTGGCTCAGCGGTTGAGCATCGACCTAGAATCCAGGCGATCGGGGTTCGATTCCCAGTGAGGGCACATGCCCGGGTTGCGGGCTCGATCAATGACTCTCTCGTCATTGATGTTTCTATCTCTCTCTCTCCCTCCCCTTTCCTCTCTCTGAAATCAATAAAGATATATTTAAAAAAATAAAAAATTTTTAAAAATAGTAATAATTAAAACTAAGTAATTTGTTTTAAAAAAGAAAAGGCATGGAGGGAACTTAAATGCATATTACTACGTGAAAGAAGCCAATCTGAAAGGTTACATACTATATGAATCCAACTATAACTTTCTAGAAAAAGCAAACTATGGAGGTAGGAAAAAGATCAGTGGTTATGAGGGGAAGGAAGAGATGAAAAGGTGGAGCACAGAGTATGTTTAGCACAGTAAAAATACTCTGTATGACATAATGATAGATACATATCCTTATACATTTGTCTAAAACCACAAAATGCACAAGTCCAAGAGTGAACCCTAATATAAACTACGGACTTCAGGTGATAACTAATGTGTTGATGTAGGTTTATCGATTTAACAAATGTATCACTCTGATGAGCGATGTTGATAATGGGGGAGGCTGTGCATGTGGAGGGTGGGGCAGGGGATATATGGGAAATCTCTGTACCTTTCTTTCAATTTTCTGTGAACCTAAAACTGCTCTAAAAAAAAAATGTAGTATTTTAAAAAATAATAGGGGAGCTTCAAATTTTTAACAAATAGTTAAAAACAAAATAGTTACTAAGTGCAAAAAAGCAAGGGAAATGGTTTAACCTGCATTCAATAAACTATATATTTCCCTAATAATTACAACACGCAGAAACCAAAACAGCTGTTGTAAAAACACTGACACCCAATATTTTCCTTTGCATCAGAGTGTTTCTTCATAAACCCAGCCTTCCTCTGTATGTTAAATGCCTAACCAGATTTCTAAATAATGACAATGTCATTTCATTCCACAAAGTTCACTTTCTTAGAGGCAGAAATATAAATATTCAGTTTCTCAGTTTCATCTAATCCATCTTTTTATGTGACTTTTTACTTTTTCAAGTACTATCACTGAGTCCTTTCATGATTTGATTGGTATTATATCCCTTTGCCCAAACCTTTCCACCCCACCCCCTAACCTGAATTATTTATTCCAGCTCTTCAACAGAACAGTTCCCATTTTATAGTCATACAAATAAAACCTGGGGGGAAAAATGATTAAAGCTGATAGAATGAGTAAACAAGATCGCTTCTTAATAAAAAACATTTTAAAGTCACGTATTTGATCTGTCACTGCCTCCCCCTCCACCCCTGCCTATTTGATGAACAAGTAGTTCCAAAGCTGTTCCCTTAAATACGTGAATGGAAAAAGTGAGAGGGTGAATACAGATTTGTAATTAATTCCACCACGACGGGTATAAAACCAGGAAGAACATTTGCTTATTTTTCCATATCACATTAGTTAGTGATTAAGAATATCACTAAGCTGTTCACCACGGTCAAACAAAGAACAGGAATGGGGAGGAGGCGCTCTTGAATACAAAGACTAAGTATCCATTCCATCCATAGCAAAGCATCCTAATCAACAGCCATCTGAGGATTCAAATATGAATGAGCAACCCCATACTGTCCCAAGCAAATAAAGCAGTGGTCATCCTCCACCTGAGAAATGCTTCCTTCCTCCTGAAGACCGTATCTGGTGACTCACTGAATCACATTCAGACCTACCTGCTTAAATTGCTAGTCTCCCATCTCAAAGTGTTTCCAGAATTTTTTTTTTACTAGTAAAGACCCTAGGCATCAAAGATTAAAAGATAATAAATATAATTCACTTCCATAACCTGTCTCCAAGCAAACAGCTCCCATCATAGGCATTTACTCTCAGCCTGCCTCCTCCATACCTCACCCCAGATATGAAAGAACAAAGCCACTTGATAAGATCCAACCAGAATTAAGCATAACTGGTGGAGTAAGCAGTTTCTAACATGACCCCAAGGGTTCCCACCTCCTGACAATCACACCCTTGTATAAGCCCTTCCCATGGAATATGAGCTGGACCTAGTGACAGGCTCCTAATGAACAGAATATGGTAAAAATGATGAAATGTGGCTTCTGATATTAGGCTACAAATCTGTAACTTAATACCCTGTCTTGCTCACTCTCTTTTACTCTCTTGCTCACTAAGGGATACCGACCACAATGTTATACGGTAGAGAGCCCCACATGGCATGGAACTAAAAAAGGCCTCTGACCAATTGCCAGCAAGGCCCTCAGTCCAAGGCCTATGAGGAATTAAAGCTTGCCAACAACCACGTGAATGAACTTGGAAGAGAATGCCCCCACCTAGCGGAGCCTTCAGATGAGACCACAGCCCCAGCCAACAGTTTGAACGCCACAATCATGGGACTCTGAGCCAGCTAAGCCATGCCCAGACTCCTGACTTAAAGAAACTGTGAGGTAATACGTGTTTGCTATTTTAAGCAGCTAATTTGTTATGCCATGAAAAATATTAATATAATTAACATTTAACTTGCTTTAAAAATAGAATCTCTTGTAAGTGAAACTAAAAACGTAATCATTCTCTTCACATTTGGGAGCTGCATGAGTCTGTCGCTTGACCTGGCTTTAACCTAGGGAAAGCAGTATCATGGGTAATTACCAAGGTGTGGCAAACGCCTTGCAGGAGTGGTTATCAGGGAAGAGCAATAATAGTTAAGATATTTCATTCTCTGAAGAATTTCAGTTGCCTTCTTCAGAGCTAATACTCACCTTCAGAGCATCCCCTTCATTGCCTTCCACCACTTCTAGAATTAGCGCGGCCAGGATGTTAAAGCCTTGGCAGTACCCAACATTCTTGTTCCATCGGGCATAGGCCAGCAGGACCCGCTTCAACACAACCCTGTCCTGCTCGGCCTCCTGGCCACAGTAAGAACTGCAGCCTGTGCGGTGAAGGTCCTAAAAGAAGAGGGAAGCATTTTTTTTTTTTAAATCACTCCTTATACTCTTTCTCAAAAACAACAACAAACCTGTAGTTATTTATTTGCCTTAGCATTAAATAGATTATCAACAGGAACTGTACTTTTTATGTGCAACTTATAGACAGGGGCCAAAACAAATTTTTTTCCATTTCTTTTTTATAATGTTTTCTAATATGCTAAGACATTTTTGATAGGAATTATAGTGAGACAAATTTTATAATTAAAGTGTTTCCAGAATTAACACAAACAGGGACTCAGGGTTATCAAAAATTACATTATAATTCCATATAAATTGACAGCTTATTTAATAATATGCCTCGGATAAAACAAATCATTTCAACATATATATGATAGATGCCAACATTATTTCTTTCTACAAAAAATGATTAATGTTTATTTAACTATCAAAACTCCAGCCCGGCCAGGCGTGGCTCAGTGGTTGAGTGTCGACCTNGATATGCCTCAGATAAAACAAATCATTTCAATATATATATGATAGATGCCAACATTATTTCTTTCTACAAAAAATGATTAATGTTTATTTAACTATCAAAACTCCAGCCCGGCCAGGCGTGACTCAGTGGTTGAGTGTCGACCTGGGATCCAGGCGATCAGAGTTCGTTCGATTCCCGGTCAGGGCACATGCCCGGTTGTGGGCTTGATCGATGACTCTCTCATCATTGATGTTGCTGTCTCTCTCTCTCTCTCCTTTCCTCTCTCTCAAATCAATAAAGGTATATTTAAAAAAAAAACAAAAAACTATCAAAACTCCAAATAGTATTAAGGAGCAAAATAAAAATAGCAAAATATGCAACTTGTATTGTAGAGAGGGAGAAAAATTATTCTGTCCAAAACAGGAAAATTATTTCATCCAAATTGCTTTATAAGTTTGTGTAAAACGGACAAAAATTTAATACTTAATCAGGGTAATATCTATAATTTTATTACCAAGCAGAGACTATGACTTTCAGGTGCTGATGTCATTTTACTGACACAGTATTCACTTCAATGATAAAATAAAAGATCCTCTTAATAACATAATTGTTATAAAATGTGCATTGCCTTAATTTACAATTTAAACAGAAAAAAAATTCAAATATGCAATACTTCATCTCTGAGAAACACATTCTAAGTGAAAATGCAAAGGTTTTTCAAGCGTACAATATAAAATTCATAATATTTTTTTAGCATTTGTCTGAAATAGACCAAATTAGATCAGAAAGTAGCTCCTTTTAGTTAGCACTTCCTTCTAAAAAAAAACAAAACCATTTTCTTCAAATCTGCCAAAACATTAGCCATCTTGTGGTGGCCAAAATTTAGATGAAACAACTTTCCTTTAATAGCTTCAGCTTCACATCACACTTTAATATACTCATATAAAATAAAAAATCATGTGCTTATGTAAGAGAGTAACAGTGAGATCAAATCAAATCAGCATCCTTGGCNGTCACACTTTAATATACTCATATAAAATAAAAAACCATGTGCTACAGGCTTATGTAAGAGAGTAACAGTGAGATCAAATCAAATCAGCATCCTTGGCTTTTGGCACCAACTGTAATAATCTNGGCTCTAAACAACTGTAATAATCTAGGTAGGCAAACCACAGGTGCCTCCACAGCTGGCTTGAACCCTTGACCATCTGGTTTAAAGTAGACCCACCAGTCAATCTAATTACATTCATAAATTGACAGTTGAGAAACGATCAGACTCTAATAACAGCCCAATTATTCTAATATGGAATATCTTTAACTTTAAATTTCTCAATGACTTTTATGTAAAAATCCAGTTTACAGCACTAACCAACGCTAAAAAAAAAAAAAAAAAGATTTTCAATCAATCTTCTGTATGTGAGCAAATAGGTTGAATGTGAATGGAAACATTTTCTTCTCACGGGCAACATACAAATTTTTGAAGACAAGGTATAGTCAAAATTCTTCATTAAAAAGTTATTAACTAATGAGGAAGCAGAAAATATACAGACATTCAGACCATAAAGCTTGATGCTCTATGCAGGAAACATCTGACTCTTAGAATCTTCCTTCTAAGTTAGGACATGGACCAAGCTCAGGGCATTACCTTGACTATCTGAATTCCCATTGAGTCATCATCAGGATTACTCCTTTCATTGAAAGTGAAGCGCATGGTTTTGTCCCAGTCAATGGCTATACTGTGCAAATAATGATCTGCCAAGGTCAACCAAACCTAAAATATTAATAAAGAAGAATGCTAAAGTAAAATACATAATTTAACCTTTATTAGAAATAGTAATTACATCCAACAAGAAAACAGGAATGTTCCTAGACCAGATATAGCCCACATATAGAAACCCAGGAGAGCCTCGTTAAAATGTGTACTATACTGAATTGCACCAACTAGGGCCTTTCATGTATTCTTTCAGTTAATGCTTGCTGAGTTCCCACTATGTGCCAAGCAATGATCCTGACATTAGGGATACTGTTAAGAAAACAAAAAAAATTTTTTTTTCCAAATTTTATTTCAGCTCATTGGATTAGCTACATTATGTTATGAGCTTGTTATACTTGGCTCTGAATTGCTCTCTAAGCTTGAGTAATAGCCACCTGGCATTCATGGAGAATAGGCCTTTTCTCACCACGAAGTGCTCTGATTTTAAATCATATCTCTCTCTCTCTCTCTCTCACACACATACACACACACATACACACACACACACACACACACACACATAAATGACAGATGAGTCCTCATAATGAATAACTTTTTTAAAGGAGTCACTGGATATTTTTTACCTTTATTTACCTTATCCTGAAAAGCTGTTTCTGCAAGATATATTTATTTCATAATGTCATTTTTATTGTGTATTTTGAGGAACTCCCAATGTTCAAATTCTAGAAGTATCAGACTAGGTTTATAAATTGATATAATAAGAGAGCATTTCAAGGTTTGGTATTTGAACATAAGTAAGCAGGAATATCACTAATTAATACAGACTTCTCTCCTAAGCATCAGAATCACACGTCCAAATGCCCACTTGACATCTTCAACTTAGATATCTAACAGGCATCTCAACCTTAACAGATCCAAATCCAATCATCTAATCCACCACCGTCTCAACTACACATACATACATACAAACACACACATCTGCTCCTCCCATCTGAGTAAATAGTAACTCTCTCCCCCTTCTGGTAGCCCAAGTAAAAATCATGAAGCCACTGTTGACATCCCCATTACCTCATATTCAATCCAATAAGAATTCATGTCAACTCAGCCTTGAAAATATATCTAGAATCTGACCCCATCTCCACCTCCACTACCACAGCTCTGATCCATCTCTTGGTTAAATTACTGCAAGCCTTCCACTGGTCTCCCACTTCTGTCTTTGTCCCTCATACTCCCAAGTGAGAAGCCAGAGTGGTCCATTTAAAATGTAAGTTGTATTGCCCTGGTCGGTGTGGCTTAATGGTTACAGCATCAGCATGCACACTGAAGGGTTGAGGGTTCGATTCCCGGTCAAGGGCACATACTTCTGTTGCAGGTTCGCTCCCTGGACCCAGTCGATGAGTCTCTCTCACATTGATGTGTCTCTCTCTCTCCCTCTCCCTCCCTCCCTTGTACTATCTCTGAAAAGCAATGGAAAACATATCCTCACGTGAGGATAAAAAAATAACAATAATAAAATATATACATAAGTGTATTGTGTAACTACCCTGCTCAAAACTACCCAACACCTCCCATCTCACACCAGGCAAAGTCCTCCTATGGCCTACAAGGCCCCACATGATCTGCCATCCCCCGAACCTCACCACATTACCTCTCTGATCCCCTCTCTCCTATTGCTTTCCCCTTTTTCACTGTGCTTCAGCTGCCCTGTCCTCTTGCTTTTGCTTCTATACTCCTGTGATGCTCCCACCAGAGTGCTCTCTAGAGTACTATTCCCCCAGGGTACCTGCATGGCCCACGGCTCACTTCCTGCAAGGCCCTATTCAAATGTCACTTTGCTATTTAAAATTCTACCTCCTTATCTCCACTTCCCCACACTTTCATTTATCTGCTTTATGTTAATCCATGGCACTTATCACCATCTGATGTACTTTATATTTTATTCATTGTAAGCTCCATAACAGCAAACATTTTGGTCTGGTTTTTTTTTCCACTGCTATATCCCCAGTATTTAGGATAGTACCTAGCACAGAATAATCAATAAAGACTTACTGAATAAATGAATAATGAAAGGGGACATATTTAAAATTACTAAATCTAGAATATCATTTTTGACATTCCAGAGACTTTAAAGAGGGACAGAGTGATGGCCCTTTTGTATTTTAGCCTACAGATCCTTCTTACCTTTCTCCTCCATTCCTTTGGTATTCCTGTTGATAGTCTGGCAACGGCCTTGAGAGCATCATACCACTAGGAACAGAGAAGAAATATTGGCAAAGTGATAATATTGACCTGGATAAGCACCTTTCAACCTTTTTTCCATCTTGACTTCTATAGAGTATAAAATTTGCACAGCACACTGGGGTAACAAAGCTTCTTTCAGCTGTATATGACTGGTCTGAGGACTATGACTGCCCCAAGCCCCACGTTGGGCATCCTTAACACACCTCTGATCCATCTGCAGTCCACACACAATAATTGGGAAGCACTGGTTCAGAAACCAAAACATGTATTATGGATTTAGAATAATAGATGTTTGGTTTTGTAAATTTTTTTCACACTTGCACCATTAATAGAAAGTACTGTCTGGCTGGTGTGGCTCAGTAATTGAGCATCGACCTATGAACCAGGAGGTCATGGTTCAATTCCTGGTCAGGGCACATGCCTAGGTTGCTGGTTCGATCCTCTGTGGAGGGCATGCAGGAGGCAGCTGATTAATGACTGTCTCTCATCATTGATGTCTTTATCTCTCTCTCGCTCCCTTCCTCTCTCTGAAATCAATAAAACCATTTTTTTTTAATAAAAAAAAGTACAAAAATCTTCATAGCAAATATAAACCCAAGCCACTTGTAGCTTCACAAGTTATTTTATCTATATTTTAAACTGACTTTTGTTCTTATGCTTATCAAAGTTTTCCCACTTTGAAATACATGTCAGTATATACCCTGTAGATACCCCCAAAAAAAGAGTATTATCAAAATTGAAACTAAAGTTACCTGCTGGAGGGATGGAGGAGGGCGGGTGGGTGGAGGGGGAGAGAGTAACTAAAGAATTTATATGCATATATGCACAACCCAAGGACATGGACAATGGTGGGGAGAGGGACTGGGGAGGGGGATGGAATGGGGTGGAACGGGTCATTGGGGAGAAAAAGGGACATCTGTAATATTTTAAACAAAAATAAAATTTAATAAATAAATAAATAAATAAAGTTACCTGCTGAAAACCATTCTGACCTAAAGATGGCTCAAGAGTAAACTTCAACTTTGTGTCAACTCCTAAAAGAAAAACACATAACTGTTACTTTGGGAGAAAATAAGTTATATCAAAAATAAAAGTAAAAATTAACCTGATTCTACTGAATCATCATGAAATTTTTAAAACATTTACTAATTTTTAGTCAATTTTGTTAAAAAAAAAAAAAGAATATTGGTTATTACAATAGAAAAATGTCCTATGGCAATAGAGTGGAGCTTTTCCCTTAAGATGGTAGTTTCCACAGCTGTCTGGAGTAGTGCCAAACCAAACCAAACCAAAAAAAGATATCACAGGCTTGGAGTCATAGAGATCTCTATTCAACTTTGGTTCCTAGAGTCAAACAAATGATTTAACCTGTCTCAGTCTCAAATCTTTATCTTTAAAATTAGGATAATAATCTCTATCTCAATAGACAGCTGTGATTAACTGTATGTCACCTAGCATGGTATAATTAATATTTATGAAACTTAGGAAGAGAATTCTCTACTTACAGAATTTGGTTTCTAGGACACTTGAGTGGATTAAGTCTACTAGGGAAATTTCAGTGAAATAACAAAAGTTATAAAANATAGACAGCTGTGATTAACTGTATGTCACCTAGCATGGTATAATTAATACTTATGAAACTTAGGAAGAGAATTCTCTCCTTCAGAATTTGGTTTCTAGGACACTTGAATGGATTAAGTCTACTAGGGAAATTTCAGTGAAATAACAAAAGTTATAAAAATAATGTCACTCCCTTCCCACTTATGGAATCCTTAACAATCCTATTTGGAGATTTTCATATGTTTTTAAATTCTGTCTTGATAGACTTAGTTATTGGAGATAAAAGTTTGTATGCTTAATTAGAGACTACAAGCTAAAAATATAACTGAACTCTAATACTAAGTTATTTACAACTTTGATAACCTTCTTTGTTCTAAATCCCAAATCTATGAAATAGAATAAACAGAAGAATAGATAAAGACTACATGCTTAATATTTATATTGGGCTTTTATTCAGAAATCCACATTAGAAGCATATGTGCTGTTGTTATTGAGGTAAAATTAAATGACAATTTTTATTCCTACTTAAATTGTATTTTTTAAGTAATATAATCAAATCTAAAAATGCTACATATTCTTTTCCCACAACTTCAAAATCAATGAAATTACATTTTACATCACTCTTTGAACGACATTACTCAAAAGTTCACGGATCAAGATATACCAAACATTAGCAATAGCATCCAGTTTGCAATTTATGATGATCATTTATGATGAAATTTTTGCGTCTAAGACGTTGACTGCAGATTAAGCCTACTGAAAACCTCTCCACAGCTTATAGGGTTGGTATGTGGACAGGAACAATCTTCAGAATTTACAAAATTATAATAATAAAGTAGACTTGTCTTTTTAAAAACACATATATGGAGTCAAGAAACTGGAAAGAGATGTGTCTGATTTGCCCAAGCCCATGAAAGGATGCAGATGCCCTTCCTGAGTCCTGGAAGAGTACTGTGAATACAGGAGCTGGGTCCTAAATGTCTAAAGTCAAACTGTGGCAGAGAATCCCAAGATATTTCTTTTCAAAGCTCCAGGTTCAAAACCACACTCTGCCTAGACAGATAACATTTTCTTCCCGAACATATATCAAGTACCCCCACGGATTCTCATCCCTCTGAGCTGATTTAAATCTGAGTTGACTTAAGCCCGGGCCTCAGTGCCAGGCCACGATACAATGGCCACCAGGGCGCCTCCAGCTGGCGCGCAGGATTCAAGGCACCAAGAGCCAGACGCGCGGGCGAGGGTGCTGTCCGGGCGCAGGGTGCTGACTGCGGGAGCGTTTACCATGACGTTTGCTTTATTACAACAAAGAGCAGGAAATTCGGTCCCGCGCTGAATAGTGTCTACCGACCTAACAGCCCCGGGTTCCCTGTGTGTATTATTACCGCATATGCTCGCTTCGCTTTTTCAGAGCACCCGCCGGGCGTCCTGCCGACCGCCTTGCCGCGCAGACACCCAGCGGGGTTTCTGAGCCAAAACCACAACTATTTTCTCCTGATCGAAAATGAGTCACAAGATTGAACTAGACTCGATCGTTCCCTGCCTGTATGCAAAAGCTGAAATCAGGTCATTTTCATCTCTTCTTCTAACTGAATAAGGAAGCAGGTTTATTTTTCATCTGATAATCACGGCTGTTCTGGGTTCAGGAATACAAAACACTTTTAACGTGGGAAGGAGGGTGTTTTTTTTTGTTTTTAAGGGTAAAGGAAGACGGTGAATAAATACTACAATCTCTGTAACTAGACGCTTCCTTGGGGAGGAAAACAAAGGAACCACGCGGTTCGGGAAGGCAGCCGCGCTTTCCACCCTTTGGGGCTCGGTGCCGCGGCAGATTTTCCCCGCAGCCTCAGGACAGCAGGTCCCGAAGGCGCCGGGAGGCGGGGCTGGGGGAGGTGGAACCCGCCTGGAACCCAGCTGGTGCCACTTCAGGGACAGATGCGCGCCAAGCACCGGAGCGAGCACAGCTGGCTCCCCTGCGGCCACCCTTGCCAGAAAGCTCGGAGCCCAGGCTACCGCGCCAGGGCCGGGCGCATAAACCCCGGGGAGGGATGCCGGATGGTGGCACAGAAGCGGAGTTATGCCGCCGGCAGAAGCGGGGAGGTGTCAACACAGGCTGGCCGCGAAAAGGGCCTAGCCCAGCACGGTCAGGTGCGCTCTCGGACTTTACCTACAAGAAAGGATCTCTGGGCTGCAGAAGTGTTTCGTGCCCGCTCCGCACCCCAACACACACATTAGAGGCTCCAGGCGAGCTGACCCCAGCGCTCACGCCGCCGCAGGGACCCTCAGCAAAATGCGCCCCCCCCTCCCCGATTTTTCCTTCGAAGCCCTCAGATCCAAAGTATCAAACCCGTGCCTTTCTCCGCCTCACACACCCCTTTCAAGGTCTGGCTTCTTGTGAGCCTGGCGCACAATTGGTTGCATGGCCTCCGAAAGCCCGGGCAGGCGCCGGCACTTACCAGCTCCGGACATAAGCAGGGCCGGACCAGGCACAGGCCGCGG